TGGGATATCTTCTAAAATTTCTCATGCAGCGAGTCCCACAAGACCTTGAGATTTATTATGGCCACATACTCATCCTTGAGAGTAATACCAGGAACTATAGTGCCTGAGTCTAGTCCACTTTAGTGGTAGTAGAATATCCTAGTAGGATTTAACAATGATCATGCTATATAATTCTATCATTCAGGGCAAGTCCAGGATATTCCTTCTTCATGAAGGTATGCATAGATATATTATTATAACTAGAATCATTATGTGCGTATGGGTTTACCGCATACAAACAAGTAGCAAGGTGTAAAAAGATAGTGGCAGTTATACAAAATATTCTTAGAAGCATCCTAGCATTTTTCAGGATTACAGTATATACAAATTTTCAAAATTAATACCAATCGTTCATTTATCCCAAAAATTCATTATACTAGGAAAAACAAGTATGAGCCTCTCAAATGTGATATATGTCTAAGGTTTGCAGGATTTAAAGAGTCCATATGCCTTATACCATGTTTCTAGTGTAATAATTCAATATTTTACTCTTGCAAATACATGGTATATGATTCATGACGTGTGATATATAAATAAATGCATTCAAAAGAGCATAAAAAATTATCCACTTAATGGTACGTATACATGAAGATACTATGCATGCATACATATGGAAGGATTTTACTGTTAAAATGCCAACACACACATTTCGGCAGGAATTTCTATGTTTCTGGGGTTTATAAACTTAATTTGATGCTTCGCTCCATACAATTTTTAGAGTAAATATGGATCAATGGTCCCCGATCGGAAAGCCTACTTGTCTCAACCCTTTTGTTTCTTCCCGCTTCCCCTGTCAGCCCAGCCCGTAGATCTTGTTGACATACTCTATCCGATTTGGACGAGCTAGAACAAAATCTCGATGACTTGAGTTGAAACTCTAACTGCTGCCTCTCTTCGTCCTAGCTACAGCGGTGCCACACGAGAGCCTAGGCATGCATGTCCAGGCGTCCAGCTCACGGTATAAGGTGCGGTGGCACAAATTCTAATTTTGTACTGACCACCGATGGCTAGCTACTGGCTATTGCGGCCGTGTTGCTGGACGACGGGCGGTTGCTGACTGCATGTAGGACGCAGCCTTACCGTCAGGATTTAGTTCGAGACGAGCAGCTAATGGCGTGCAGGCCACAATGGAGGAACGAACAGCGGTGATACACACGGGCGTACAGGCCGCGTAGCAGAGACGATGATGAGTCGTAGCTTCAAGCTGGGCATGGCGCATCAGCCGTGCGGGCCACTACGGGTTGTATGGTGTGTCGGTGTCTAGCGGCAAGCTAGCTAGATGCATTCAGGCATTGACAGAAATTTGGAAACGGCTTCTTGCCAACTTGCGTGGAGTCCGTGTCAATTGGTCTTCGAGTCCAATTAGCATTGCTGCATGCGGCGCTCTCTCGATAATGAGACTAGATCTTGCAGAATCTGCCTCATATCATAATTTGGATGGCACACGGTACTAATTATTAGGCTCCACCGTACAAGTTTTCATGCACACATGTACCGTTCATGTGTGTGCATGTTCGTACGCTATGTATTCATTCATGTAAGTGTGTGCGTATAAGCTTGCATGTTTGTTTACAGGATACCTCACGTAACGTACTTCATGTACGTGGGCATGTATAATGTATACTTCGTCATGCTTCTTGCATGTATGTATATGTACTGCACGTACGGATTCTATATGGCATTGGAAAGCATAGACCAGCTCGAAGGCCAGCACAATAAAACAATCTGCGAGATCTTTTCCATATCTTTTAAAGGTGCCAATTTGATCTACCTTACATGCCACATAGGGCAGTGGCTAGTAGATACATACCGTGTAGAACGTTTGACATTGTCGTAGAACTGCTTTCTTGACAGCGATTGTGCATGTCGATGTAGTTCAGATCGGTTGCCTGTAGAGGTAGTAGATCCATTCCACTAACAACGTCGAGGATGTCGACGTCGCGAAGTAGTCGCGGCGAGATGTTGATGGTACAAGCACTGGCATCGAAGATCAGCACCAGCTTCAACGGCGATGTCGACAAAGAGCTTGTCGTGATGATAACGTGTTATAAAACATGTCGCCAGCGGTTAGGACTTTCCCCTCTCTATCTCTCATGATCAACACAGTAGATAAAAGTAGAACATATAAACACAAGAGATAGAGAGACTATTCTTTATTCATCTAAATATTAATAATTACAACATAGAACTTCCACATATATAGTCCTACCAAAGTCTAAAAATTTGACAAGAACCCACGTAGAATTAAAATTTCACATTCTCCTTTCCTTCTAAGATCTTCTAAGATAGTTTTTTACAACATTAGTTGTAATCGTGCGTCATCATCCCTCCCCTCCAAGTACTCCCAGCTGCTGATTTTGTTGTGTTCATAGTCATTGCGGCCGTTGTTAGAAATCACCAAAGTAGCAAATGTGAGTACAGAGGAAGTCCTCCTCACTAGGAACATGGGGCGGCGCTTCGCCTCACCTGTGCCAGCATACCCCTCCGACCTTTTTTAACTATCATTCTCACTTTTCGAGAAAAACTATACTTAACTTTGATCAAATATATACAAAAAAATATATTAATATTAATTTTAATGGTACATAATTAGTATCACTAAATTGTTCGGAGATACAAATGTGACTAATATTTTATATAAACCTAGTCAAACTTAAGAAAGTTTTGTATAAACCTGATCAAACTGTATAAATACAAATACCGTAGCGACACTGAAAAAGGGCCAGGTTGAGTAGGCTCCAACGGCTCGTCATAGTGAGGTGTTCTGGGCGAGCACAACTCTGGTAGATCTCTTAAATGTCAGATTTAAAACTGGTTATATTTTTTTTCAAAATGAACTGGGTTGTATGTACTGTCCAAGAAGTCCGGAGAGCCAGGAAAGAGTATCATTCCATTCTTCAGTAGCTGAGCTAGTACAAAAGGTTGGAACGAAGCTACAGGTTCCAAAAAATATGATAATGAAATGGTCAGCCACAGAAATGCTGCATGTAGGATCTCCCGATATATGTAATGTAATGGAAGCTCGCTAAACAAATAAGCCTTCAGGTACTATCAGCAGAACTGTGAAATTTGACTATCTTAGATAATCAGGCATCAAATCAAGCTGTGGAATACCTTATGTCCTTCTGCTGTTTTCTTAACTAATACACTCGTTTCTGAGCATGAAGTATTATTTGCAGTTTTAACCTATGTTAGCTGTTTGTCAGATTTTCCCTACGGGGGTATAACAATAAAAATTAGAAGAGTGGAAGAAGGTTTTGAAATCTTAAGATAATAAAGAGGTACCATAACTGAATTGTGTGCTTGCATTTTATTTTAGAACTTGCACCACTATGTTTCCAATAACAAAGCACACCTTGGTATCTTCTTCCTCTAATGCATCATGTTTGGATCACGACCTTGAACTAGTTGTCGGTGAGGCAGCGATCCGATCCCAGCCGCCAGGGGCTGAAAATCGACAGCCTGGGTTGTCGTCTGGTCAGGCAGCATTGCCTGGACACACAACCAAACAGGGCAGAGTCTTCGTGATCTCTATCTCCCTGAAGCTCTGCACCACCAGCAGGTACAGAGTTCCAAGTAACTGCCAGCAAAGCAAGAGATGTTGAATTACTTTACTTGCCCTTATCACTATTGAGGGTGTCCAGAAGACCTTGCAATACTCTCCTGTACATGTTATTCGTTTCAGGAACTCCGAATCAAGTGGCCATAATGAGGACAACACAACATTATGAACTCCAGTAGACCTATCACCTGTAAGGTTAGCTTCTGATAGAATATGATGTTGCACCAATAGACGATGGTCCAGATCTTCTCAAGTCCTGCAGTCCGATAGTCCATACAGAAGCTCCCAACACCTTATGTGTGCTCACAGGCACAAGGCCAGCGGCAGAAAACACATGTTGGCATAGAGTGAGCCTAAGCTAATCCTGTGGGCAGCATGGCTAACAGGCCACAGTTATTTGTAGATTTCAACCAGAAGAAATTAAACACTTTGCTAACTGTTAATGCACAAAATATAATACACATAATGGATAACTGAGATCTGGGATACTATCTTTTCTCCAAAGACAAACAAATAGGGACTCAAAAAATAACATGGGCTAAAACATATCAAATAGCCCTCACAGAATGAATTATACCCTTTCATACCACTTACATATAGCTAAAATAGTTCTTTTGATGTAAAGTATGTGAGGCGCACCTATTATAATTTGCATCCTAAAACTGAATGCACCATGCAGAAAGTAAACATGCAGTGTCAAGCACTGTCCTTTTTTAGAGCAAAATTGCACAGTTTCTTTTTCTTGAGAGCACAATTGCACTATGCTTCTTTCACAATTCACACACTATTTCATATGCATAAACTCAGTAGTAATAGCTGGTCAGAGCAATCTGCCATAAAGGAAGAATAAATGACACTGCATTTTAATATTTCAATTCAAACTGGTACACATTTATGATTTACCACTAAATCAATTGTGTTTACCTACCAATTCATTTTGCTTTCAGTTTAGATACCATATGCCTTGCCAAAACAAAGGCATCATATATAGAAGTAGGTTAACCAGATTAAATTGCAGATAGAAGAAAGAGCCAAACCTAAGCTGAATTACTGGAATAGGAGCGAATCGGAGTCATTCTGCAACAACAATCAGCGTTGTTAGCACCCTCACTTATTGATCCCTGTCAAGGACATCTGATACATTTAGCCAGCAATAGGAAACAGAAGGTGCTGGTTTGGCTCTTGTGAATGCCTGAAATTTGAATAGAAGGTAATTAACAAGAATAAGGCACAATTTGAAGAGACTTACTTGAAAGCTTCAGTTAAATATACACGTGTGTAAGTAACAGTTTCAGACCTGAAGGCCAACACAGAAGGAGTGCAGCTAATTGCCCTAGTGCTTCAGAGTTTTTCCATGCCAAGGGACCAATAACTTAATTTGAAGCTGAAGAGATACATTCTATGGACCAATGACTAAATTTGAAGCTGAAGAGATACATTCTATGGATAGAGAATTTTCTCCTTGTTTTGTGAACGGCTCGAAGGCACCACCATGCTTGTCGGATGGTTTCACACGCTGCCGCTTTTGTCCCAAGAGGAACGACAGCTTCTCCCTATTCTCCGGCATGCCTCTCTTGCCATTACCGTTCATCACCGTTACCACTTGCCCCGTGTCCTTCTCGTCATTCGCTGCCTCCTGGCAGCGAACGCGCAACTGTTCCTCCCACCCCTCGGGGAAGCAAGGCAGCCACTGTGGAACGTGCCTCAGCGGCGGCTCCCTCCCCGCCGCCGCGAAGCTCTCCCACCCGTCGCTGGAACCGCAGCCCGGATCCCTCCTCGGCAGGGGCTTCGCGAACGGGACCTCCCTCACCGCGGCGACGAACTGGGCGAGCTCCGCGAGCGCGCCGGAACAGAGCAACGGCCGCGTGGGGTCGGACGCGCCGGGGAAGCCGCCGAGTGCGTGGTCCTCGAGCGCGAGGACGGCGTCGGCGACGTTGGGCTCCGTGCGGCCACGGGCCTCGGCGAAAGCTGCTGCTGCGCGGCCCAGAGACGCGATGTAGCGGCCAGCGATGTCGGAGAGGGCCCGGAGCGCGGTAGGTTCCGCGGCGGAGTAGCCGGAAGAGCGGAGTATCTGCGCGGTGGATACGGTGGAGACTGCGGCCTGTAGGTGGCGTGGGACGGCACGGGGGTGCTTCGCCGGAGTTCCCATACATGGCGGCGACGGCGAGGAAAGGGCCTAAATAAAACCCTAGCGGTCAGATCCTTCCAATCGAGGGTTTTATGCCATGTTTTCGGTTTGTGTTTTTGAGCGGGTCTTTGTTTCTGTTTTGTCGACGGGATTTTTTTCGAGTTATTGGAGGACAGGGGTTATTAACAGGCTTTTGACTAAACAAGGATTCTCCTTTCCTTGTGGTTTACTTCTATCCTTTTTTTCGGCCAATCTTTTCGTCGAATTTTATGGCTTACCGTCTCTGTAGCTATTTTTAAGACAAAAACAAAGGAGAGTACAATAGACGTATACGTATCACTCACTATAACTTTCTAATTTATTGAAATCCAATTATATTCCCTATAATTAAAAGGTGGAGTCTTAGTTCCATTATACAAAAATATGACAAATGCTAAATTAAGTATTTTTTTTAATTTGTCTTGAATCCCTATATTTCAGGATAAATTTTAAATTTCAGAATATACGCTATATTACAGACAGAGTAATTTATTTTATAACATATGCATTTTGGTAAGCTAGCCTTTTTTAGTCAATCTTCTAGTCGCAACCGAGGGCCTGAAATATAGGTAAGTTTAAGAGATTTGATGGACAATTAATTTGGTACTAAAAATTGGCAAAGCTAAGTTTTTCACCTTTGTTGGTAACAAACCAAGTGCCAACCTTGATCGTCTTACCAAAATATTATCTTGTTCTTATATTGGTGCACTCACATTTTCAATTGCTCTAAGATTGGATGGCAAAAAAGTTCCCAAAATCTCAGTGTTTCCAAGCCAGCCAAAAATAACTAGGAACAACAAATAAGGATTTTCTCTATGGCCGTTTGGATCCTTTCATTTTAGAGGAATTGGAATCTACTCAATAAATTATGTTATTTGGTTTGGAATTTGACGTTCCACGGCTTTTCCAAGTTCACATATGAGACTATCTCAAATTTATATGGTGAGAGATGAAATTTGATTATATATATCATCATGCTATGTTTCTACTTTTCAACTTATAGTATGGTCTTTAACTCGCTTTCCTATAGTAGAAATGCAACATAGAAGTATCTTCCTTATATGTCTAACAATAATATATAAATATATTACATATACAATTATATTAACTTAATTAATTTGTGCCTAAATTATAATTATTGGAATGATTTTAATTTCAAGGATCCAAACGGGGCCAAACGGTTTTCAAAAAATAACTCCTAAAATACGAAAAAATTGGACCCACGGAAAACTTTTGTGGCGGCGCATGGGGTTTTTTCACGGGAGATCACGTCTGCACCTGAATCCTAGTCACGGTCCTAAAATACGAAAAAATTGGACCCACGGAAAACTTTTCGCAGCCATATCCAGTCGGCCACAACCTCGCCCAGCCATCAAGAGGCGGACACAGCTGGCCACCAGCCCCGAACAGTGCCCACCGCTGCGCGTCTGTCGGTATTTGATGACCAACAACCTGTCACGGGGTTACCCGACAGCCCCGACGTGAAAGCGTCCAGGTGAGAGAGCAACGCCGCCAAACAGCAAAAACACAAACCAATAAAAGGCAACTACGATGGATTCTTTACCAAATTGCTCCATCCGCCAACTCGCACTCCTATGACAGACTGATAGATAAACCCAACGATCATCTCATCACGCACGACCATGGCGACCTAGTACAACTACTCCAGAAAGGTGGCGCGGGGCCAACACGTGAAGCTGGTGTTTGCGGGTGGCCACGTCGAGCTCCTGGACCGCCCGACGCTAGCCACAGACGTGATGGCGCGACACTCGCCTCCCGCGGTTCTGCCTAGCGTGGCCTGACGTGCTCTGGGAGCCCGCGGGCATAGTCACCACGGCGGACACAATCCTACAGCTCGGGCACAAGTGGCGGCAGTGGTGGTGTCGACGAAGAGGCGCACACGAGGGAGAAGAAAGACCTGGGAAACCTAACGCGAGGAGGATATGCGGTCGAGAAAGTTTGCGTATTTTTTCCTTGTGGAGGGGTTTCTTTTTCCAAATATCAGAAGATTGTGAGGTGAGGCTGTAGTTGTTGAAGAGATATTTCTTTAACCTAAATACTAGTTTACGAGCGCATGCGCGTTAGCCCTTGGGAATGTGCACCGTTGCTACCGTCTGATCTCTCCGTGCACGGCCACGAGCCCACAACGAAGCAGACATGGCCCACAAGCCACACGTATCAACCAGCCTGTTCGGTTGGCTGGTTCGTTTCGTTGTTGGTTCATGAAGAAGTATTGCTGGCTGGTTTGTGCGAGAGAAAAATATGTTCCGGCTGGAAATTTTCTCTCTCGCAGATATCGATTCCCCATTTCCTCTCTGTCCTCTCCCCCCCCTTTGGTTCTTCTGTCTTCCCATTTCATTTCTAGTCCCATACAAAATTCAAAGGTGAATCCACCAACCGGAGCTACGCCAATGCAATAACCCGACGAATCTAGCAGGAGCCGGCGACGAGGGGGGAAAAAGCCCTTCGAATCTGGGTGGACGCCGATGACGACCGCTCGTGGACGGAGGTAACAGGGAGGATTTTGCCCATGATTCAAGGAGAAGGAACCTCGATGGTTCGAGAAGGGTGGAGGTCTGGTGGATTCCAGCATTCCGCTGCCAACGATGATCCACCTCCCCTAGACTCCCATGGTTTGTAAGGTGTGTTAACATATCCATCCCATTTTTCTTCAATTCACCCATTCTAATCCCAGTGAATCTCGCATCAATGGGGCTCCGATCCCTGGTGAATCTTGTAGCAGTTAGGTTTCAAATCACTGTCAATTTCACAGCAGACTGTGAACTGGCCCTTCGAACCTGGCCGGATGAACGATTTGTGGCTTCGAATTGAGCCGTGTTTGGTGTTCCAGATCCTGTGATGAGCTGCGACGGGAGGTGTAACACCTCAGTGTTATGGTTGCACTAAAACACTTGCATCACATGAGCATGTGCATTATCATCTCATTCATAAGCATCATACCATGATGAATGTATCATTTCATGTGTGTTTCATTTGAATTGTTTGGTTCTATGCTAGCAATTGTGGGTGCTCTTGTGTGGTTTATGCAATTGTGTGTTAAATGTCCTCTTAAACAACTTAGCTATACTTAGAATGTCATTAGCAACAATGTTCATGTTGACCATCTTGCCTAATTACACTTCCAAGTAATAGCTTGACTTGTGTTGACCCTAGAGCTCTTATCTTTGACTGTTTAAAAAGTACAACTTAGAGTGTTTGCATGTCTGAGCAACCTAAAGTAAAGTTGTAGCAAATTATATAAGGAACAAAAGTTATTTTATGACCAACTCATGAAAATGTGTGGAATAGTCTCAAACATGGCCCACAAATCAAATTTGGGGTCGAATTCTACACTTAGAATTTTTCTAAGTCCAAGAGTTGATTTTCAGTTTCTTGTACCATTGTTTGGAGCCTTGTATCTCCCTAACCAGGCCGAACCAACTCGAGCTCCAATTGGAAAAGTTGTAGTCCTCACTTCAATCTCCAACTTTGTTAACTACGCCTTGCGCTAGATCATCACAGGTTAGGAGATATAGAATGTTGAACTTGCACTGTCAGTCGACCTAGTCGTTCTCTGATGGCTTCGGTTCAGGCCGACATGCCCGACCGGCGTCAGGCCGAACGCGCCAAGTGGTGGCCGTACGCCGGCACTGCCCCGCTTGTAAGGTCGTTGCTGCCACGACAACGCCACGCGCCGTTGGATTGCCTACTTGTTTCGCCCGTGCCTCCTCGCCTCGTCAGTCCACACAGAACCGAGCGCAACGCCGCTCCGCCTTTGCTGCCGAGCGCGTCGCCGTCGTGCAGCTCCTCCGCCGGTCAGCCGCTGAGCAATTGCTCGCACGCATAGTTGCGCCTTGCACTGCTCTACTCGCTCGACCGCTTCATAGCCCCAGTAGAGCCAAGGTGAGGGTCCTTTAGCGATTTCCGTCATCGCCACCGTGCCTGTCACCTCGCCGGAGCGCGAGCTCACCGTGGCCAGAGCACTGGAGGCTCCCCTTTCTCTTCTCGAATGGCTTAGCTGTGAACCCATGTAGCTCGTACCGAACTTGGGTGGGGCAATGGGGGCTCGCCATCGTCGGAGCACCGCCGGGTCCTCGCCACCACCCGCCATTGCCGTCGCCGCCCTAGTTAGGCTTCGGTAGGGGTTGATCCTTAGGAACCTTTAGGTGCATCTCGTCGAGGCGAGCACGCCGGTGCCCTTGGCCTCGCCGGAATCCTCGCCGCCGGTGAGCAAGCGCGGGTCAACCATCGCTCCTCTTTTCTGCTACCTCTGGCCGGTGGGACCGTTGACCCCGTGGGTCCCACGTGTCGGTGACTTAGATCCAGAAAGCTAGCTCATTTGTGCTGATTTTGATGATGTTTTGTAAAATTTATATCTCGAGTTTGGTAGATCCAAATTGGGTGGTTCAAATTTTGATAGGATCTTGGTGAAGTGTAGTATTTAGGAAAAATATAACATTAGCACTTGTAGTAAAGTTTCTGGAAGAATTAAATTGCAACTTAAAATGTGTTTTTAAATGAATACAAACTTGTTTAACTCATATCTAGAGTTGCAGTGCTCCAAAAATTATGAAATTTGTATGGTGAGCTATTCTTGATGATTATAAGCTCTGGTAAAAATTTTAGAGTCATTGCATGCATAGTTTTTGAGTTATTAATTTCCCTTTTATAATTAGGAGATTCTTGTGCTATTTTTCATGGTAAAAATATGTATCCAGTGAGCATGAAACTTTTTGTACAATGTTATGGTGTTATGATGAACCTAATAAAAATATAAAATCTGTTGCTTGACACTTTTCACTAGGGTTTTCTATTTATGCTATTTTAAGCCATACGGTCTTGTCATTTCTGTGTAGGATGTTATGTTTGTTGAAATGATGTGAAATTTATACAGTAGTCTATTGGGGACATATATAAGCTACTATAATTTTTGTAGAATTTTCTATACACTTTGGATAGGTGTTTATTATTTAACCTAAGTA